GATGATTGCAACACGAGGAGCTCCTGACCAAATCAGTTTCCAATTATACCCAAATTATTTCCAATAATTCCCAAATGAAAATGTACACACCATAAAGAACAGAGATTTGGCTGGACCTAGAGGAGAGAATGATAGCAGATTTGCTTCCTCAATTGAGGCAATGGGTTTTGAAGATCCTCTTCATTTTATTTACGCATTCATGTTGTTGAAGGTCGCTCTAAGCAACCTTGCAATGTGTAAACAAATCAACAAACTAGTCCAAAGTTGAACTACACGGGAGAATATATCCATGAAACAAAATTTCAAGTGTATGAAGGTCCTCAACCAAGCCAACCTCAATTGATTCACTGACCACCAACTACATAATCTGATTCATGAGATAGGCATCTTTATATTTTAACACCAAGGTAGTCTTGGTAAACACAACTTTGCTTTAGGGGCAATAAACATGACACTATTAAGCCGCCTTTATTTGACAAAGAAAATTCTCAAGCTTATCTGTATTTAGAAAATCCATGTTTGTAGGAAAAATGAGAGTAAAGCCAAAACCAACAGGAAGAAGGAACCATTTGCAGTGAGATTTCACTTGGTCTCTGTCAGCATTTATCTCATTTTTCCTTTCCTTCCTGGCTGAGAAAAGAAAGGTAACTCACTTCCCACACAACATATTAATTCTGTTGTTGTGATAGAATTCCAATGTAACTCAGCATAATTTGTATCGATTTCTATTAAAATAGAGCAAGTTGTATAGGCTTCACAAAGCTTAGTTGGCTTAAATTTGCATATAGAACAGAGTCATCAAAACATGAGATTTAGAACAGTTTCAATTAATAATGTTAATACTTTGTACTAAAATTTCAACACTCAACACTCAATCCACACACTCTGCCTATCCCCAACCTTCCTATTTCCAAACAACCCACAAGCCTTCTCTACCTCAATTTCCATCCTTCCATACTCCTGCTTCTCCCCAACCCTCACCTCACCCCCCGTTTTCTGCACTATCAACTGCAGAACATAGCATATCCCCAAAACATGAACTTTATTCGAACCTTTGTACCAACTATTCTGCCATAGGCCAATGGGAGACATTTGTTCTATTGGCCATCAACTTCTAATAACTAATCAACACAACCAGTCACCAAAATCACCACCACTGCAATTTACACTCCACCTGCAATCAACACAACCAGTCACTGCCGTTGCAATCAACACAACCACTGCAATCAACCAATCACCACCACTGCAGACAACCACTGCATCAACCAGTCATCACAGCCAGTCACCACCACCACTGCCTACCATCGCCACCACCAGTCACCAATCAACACAATCGAAATCGAAAAAATCAAAAACCCCCAAAATTTCAGATCGAAAGTAGGGAGAACTTCACCTTCGCCCTGCCACGAACAACGCCGTCACCAATGGGTCGCCGAGTCGAAGAGAGAGGAGGCAGAGACGGGACACAACCACCACAGCATCGCGACGAATGGGTCGTGACGCTGCGTTCACAGTAGTGGCGCCTCCCCATGCTAGCGCCCGCGAACGTGCCGTCACGGCGCATCTCCTTCGTGGCCGGTTGTAGCGTTTCAATGGATCGCCGGCGTCCAGAAGAGAGAAGGAAGAGACGGTTGTTCTGAAGAGAGAGAAGGAAGACACGGTTTTGATCATTTTCCGCGTTTTCCAATTTTTTCGCGTTTTGCACTGAAAACGCCCAAAATGATAAAAATGTCGTTTTGTGTTTTCAATACAAATTTTTTGGTTGTTTTTAAAAACGCGTTTTCGAAAATAGGAAAAAGAACGCGTTTTCACTGTTTTGAAAAATCGAAAACAGAAAACGGATGGAAAACAGCAAAGAGAACAGGGCCTTTAAGACTGTTAATTAATTGGAGGTTGAAGATAAAATGAGAAGAAAAAATTTGAGAGGAGATATAAAAATAAGAAAAAAATTGGAAGTTTGGCTTGAGGATTCGACAGTTTCTCCTTCTGTGGTTAGTAACTACGCGTAGATGGTAACCCTCAAAGACAGCAAAATTGACAATTGGTCGGTATTTTCAAATGTGGTGCCGATTCAAGATAGTGATTTAGATATTTAAACCAGGTCAAGAAATGAATTTTGACTGTCAGACTGTGTCACACTTTCTGAGGTATGAAAAATCTAGATGTTAACTCTTGTCAATCATACTAACCTTCTGTGTAATTGCGGGTTTGAATAATCTAGGTCCGGGTTTGACCTTTACTATTTTCCATGAAATTTGGAATTTCATGGTTCCAAGTTTCAACTTTTTTCTTGTTTGATAGCCAAATTTTTCTTGTTTAATAGACAATTTTCATGAAAAACAAAGTCAAACGAATACCAAAAAATTCAAAATTTTAACATTTTCCAAGGAAAAATTATACAAATCAAATACGATTAAATGACAATTCCTGAAAAAACAAGTTTGACGAGCCAGAACTGACTAGCCGCTTGGCCCGTTTGCCACCACTAGGTATAACTAAATCAATAAATGCATCTGAAAAATCAAGGGACATGCGAGTCAACTGTTTGTTTGGTTCGGGTTAATGATCATTTATTTAAGAGGTTTGAAGTGGGACAAGCTTGTCAAGAAGTAGGTCATCATTTAGTCCATGTTCGACGCAGCTAAAAATTTAAAATCATATTTTGAGTAGATTCGATTGTGAAATTGAAGAAATGATAATGAAATACAATGGGTCAGGAAGGTTTCACCTTTCTACATATTAGTCGGCTGAGGAGGACTGTGCAAAAAAAAAAGAATAGGGACTCATTGTATATAGAGGCCATAGTTTGGGGACTACAAGTCAAAAACAAAGTATAACCGGAGGAGAACATCCTAAACAGATGACGTGGAAACAATAGCTGACGTGGATCGAGTTGGCGGAGAATATACACGAATAAAGCGCGCGTACAGCATGAGCTAGAACGTGTTAATAGGAGGAGGAAATGTGGTTGCCACGTCAGAGGCCTTATATATGAAAGCCAATAGAATCGTGAGTATGAATTAAGCAATCATTTTGTATCTCACACGCTATTCATCATCTTCATGCTCCTTGTTTGTGTTCTGAATTTGTTTGTGTTCTGATAGCTTTATGCATGGCGTCCTTGCGTGGAAATTGCTCCTTCTCTCTACAATATGCGGAAGAAAGAAGCAGTAACTTATTGCATCGGCACAAATTGGCAAAGAATAAGTCCTTTTTCAATCCTAATCGGATTCGTCGAATCGCCATTTCTGCGAATTGCACTGACACAAATAGAATAAATCTGTCGTCAAAGCCATCTCTTTTTCATCATATTGTCGATTCCGATCAATTGAAGAGTAATAGCTATATTCAGCATAATAAAAGGACCCCGGACGAAGAAGCTGAGGTTATTTCTGAAGAACTCGATCGGTGGGTTAAAGATTCTGCCGTTGAGGTTTGCTTCTCTTCCTTTTCTTTTAATTTATAAACAATATAAAGACTCGAGCTACTCTGTTTTATATAGTTGAACTTTTAATATGAAACTTAGGTGCATGGAAACTTTTATAATGCTACAATCTTCAAAAACGTGTTGCATTTCGTTTCTTGTTTTCATTTCCATTCAACCTAGGATGAAATCTCAAGTTTTAATCGATAAGCTTGTTTTTGTTTGTAGATCGTGAGTAACCTCGATGAAGCCCCTTTTCTTGTACATGTATATGGTGACAATGGCAATAGATCAAATCGAGCAACGGGAATTAAATTGGTTAGAGAAAAGGCCATTGCGGAGGATTGGCCTTTTATCCAAAAAAGATGGGAGGGAGGGAGTCCCACCCCAAATGGTATTATGTTGGTGGAAGAACTTAGCAATCAAGAACCCGAACCCGAACAAAAACTAGGCAAAGAGATGCTCGAAATTAAAGATCAATCGCCTTCCTCGACTAAGGCATGGGGGATACTTATCCAAGGAAAACGACGAAATTGTACAGCTTGCTACCTTCTCAAGACTAGTCAAGTTCAATCTGTGGCAGGATTCTGCACTCATTTTTGCTTAGTTAGGGTTGATTGTTTTGTAGAACATGCTGATATTCTTCTGAAGAAAATGTGGTTGCAATGCCCTTAAATGTACTTTCACTGAGTACTATATATTTTTATGCAATGCATTGTGTTAACTTCAGATGGAAAGTTCAAATCAACAAGACAATGCACAGAATTGTAATATGTAAATTAACAATACTAGATCGTATTAAGAAAAAGAGTTCAAATCTTATCTATTACATTGCCATTAGTCTTGTCCTACACACGAAACACATTGTTTCGGTGAAAACTTTAAGAAGCACCTGCAAAAATTGGGCTGAAAAATGAAACAAACAAGTGAAACTCCAACTACGATTTTGAATTCTGCATCAACTTCAAGCCCCAAACTGCGTTTTCTGCCTTGATATACATATAACATAACCAATCTTGCTACGTTGCATCAAAACGTACACAATGACTTACATAATGACACATGACACTCTATTATTAGATAGTTTAAAACACATTTAGCTTTTTCATTCAATCATTTCCCTCCAACTCATCTTCTGGACAATTCCTTCTAGCAAAGTAGATTAATTAATAACCTATATAGCTATGAAATATTGAAGGTCCATGACAACATACAAGTTCACAACACCATTCAATGGGGCTGCACATCTTTCGGGTTAAAGGGTGCATGGAAGTAAGAGAATCTCCCCATTTTCGGGTTAAAGGGTGCATGGCAGTAAGAGGTGATATTCCACATTAAATCCAGCGTGCTTTGAGTATAAAAATAGAAGCCCACTGAGATTGAATGGAAGAGGAGTATATGATCGATTCAATACAGTTTAATCATTCTTTTCTTCGTCGATCTTTCTGATTATTGTACATAGGTAACAGCGAATGAGAACCGTGTTTCCTCCTTCCATAGCATCGCCAGTAAAGCACCAATATTGCAGCTATAATGCCAAGAGGAATCGCCCATCTGTCAAACAATATCAAGTTTAAAACTCAACATAACATTTGGTTTGCAATATTGGACAGGACAAGACATTATTATGTGCAAGATTTCAATTTCTTTCTCTTCTCTAATACTCTCCACCACTACGCAACCTTTCGTGACTCAGTAGTACTAACATTTCTTCAAAAAATCAATTCTTATTTACTAGGCATATTAAGTATTAACAACAAAAAAATTGTTACAAACATGCTTGCCAGCTTGTTCAACACCAATCTGTTTTTCCTTCCTCTCGTCTCCTTTTCATTTTCTCATATTCCTGAATTTAATGCTATCGAAATGCAAATATTTTTATGGCAGCGCAATGTTCAAAATTAGCAGAAAGAAATGAATGTCTCGTTCGTGAAGTTGAAAAGGATAGTAGCAACATTCAATTTGCAGACCACATCGAAGAATATGGTAAATATGTTTATATTAAGAAATGAAAGATTATAGACGTTACCTGTCCAAATCAAGGATGGGGCTGTATACTAGGGTTTCCCAAGTTGTCACGATAACGTGCCACACTGGGTTGTAATAAAGAGATTCCGCAGACCAAAACATGCGTGTATATGTCTCTAAGAATATAAAAAGTACCCATGCTCCAATCTCTATCAAAATAAACTTTATTATAAACCGACCCAGTACCACCATGACGAGTGAAAAGGCCACCAACCAATTAAAGAGCCTGTGATTGTATTCTTTGATGAATTGAGATTTTGACTTCCCCAACATCTGCATTAACACGATACAGATTTAAAAGAATATTCAGAAGAGGTGATATGAAATCTAAGAAGATAAATGAAGACAACAAGTCCCAGTCTCTTGCTTCTGCCGGCCATCCTTTTGAGTCAAGTGACATTGGAATTTCAGATACATTTAAACATGTCTTCTGTATTCATCTTAACTCAACATGGATTCACATGAAGCTCCTTGAAATTCCCCAATCGCTGAGAAAACAATTAAAACCAGCAGAAGACATAAACGAAGAGAGAAGAATATTTCTTAACCTTCATTATTCTAAGCTCATAGCTAGTTTTAGAAGGTCCAACACATTCCCTTTCAAAGCTTTGGTTGCAGTGCAGAAATCCAGCATTAAATTTAGCCATAGATGGAAGTCTAAGGACTTGAAGCTGGTCCATTTTGTCCTCGCATTTTGTATATAGAGCCTCACACAGTTTTGAAGATTGATATTCATTTGCCAATATGTAATTCTTGTATACCTGCACAGACATATCAATAAGCAAAAAATCTAAAATTACTGCTGCCAGACTTTTATGTTCAGTTTCAAAACCTTCTCTATTTCTTCAACCAATTTCTCAGCCGATCTCTTAGCATGGCGACGACCAAAATGTTGCTCATTAAAAGCGTTCATGGCCATTTCTCTGGAACCTTCATGAGCTTTCTGCAGATAATCCTCGGATGTTGGTAAACCAAGATTATCCATGCGTTCACCGTAAAGTTTCAGACAGCGATCGAGAATACCCTTATTAAAGACCTCCAAAAGGGAGCCCGTCGATGGAATCTCCCCTTTGTTTAGGGCTTCAAGAATCTGGAATGAAAGTTTATAAAGTAATACAAGGAATCTTACTTCAAAAATGAACAGACACGTTGAATGTCAAAAGGATATAATATAAACTGAAGCCAATATGGGTTAGAGAAAGAACCTGCTCCAAGAAAGATACAAACTCCTTCCCAGTGAGAGTTTTACCCTGGACAATCTTTGGACGTATGATGGAAGCAACAATTGCTTTCAACCTCTCCCTCTTCTGTACATAAATTGGATCAAGCTCATTGTCCTTCATGTCACAAAGCTTTGTGCGCTGGAGATGAGGCTGCACAACAGTTCAAATTGTGCTATCAATTCAAAGATATATACACACGCACACACACATGTTTAAGAATGTCAAAAAAAGCTTAATATAAAGCAAATGCCATGAAGAAAGGTATTGTACATGTCATTATATGTGTGTGCATGAGTAAGAATACAGCAAAGATAATTGATGCCTTTGTTGCTCATAATTCATCATTATAAAAACATCTCAGACAAAAGAACAATAGAGTTATTTTCTTCCATACAGCTGTTTCCCAAACTGAATTTTCTAACATACTTGTGCAAGATGTGCTGCTGCCCCTGGGAATTTGAATGTAAAGCTTATTATGCCCATAGTAAGGAACTCAGTCGTCGTTGATTTTAGTAGGCACAGATTAAGCATTTATTAAGGAAACATCTGGGATTTAGCAAGTGATTATGACAATCAGTGAAAAAGTGACCTGAAATACTTCTTGATTCAGTATTGTTAAAGAACATTATCAAAATCTATTAATTCCAACTTCCAACAGATCATTGTTTGAACCGTTAATCAATTAGTCTGAGAAGCCCTCCAATTACATGAACGGAAATGCAACTACTGTTATTCTGTACCTGAACTTTTCAGAAAGTCCCATCAGATCTACACCAGTCAATGTAACATATTAAGGCATCTTCTGCGTCTCTAAATCATATCAGGCAAGCTCTTGGATGCAGAAGAGGAAAATCCAAGTTAAAGAAGAATTTACGTCGAATTTTTCTTCTTTACGATCTTAATTTGTTTTATAAATAATTAGGATTAGGATTGTATGAGCACTTTGCTTGTTTTTTTCAGTGGTTCGGGTAGCAAAAAGGTGGAATCTTATCATGCCGACATCAAGAAAGATTGAATTCCATGGGAAACAAGAACTTGACAGACTTACCCTATTGATGACATTCATTTTTGTATCGCCCAAAGATCATTCTCCCACTTGCAAAACAATTAATTACAGCGACTCTACTGAAGCAGAAAAAGTCCCAGGGTTCAACCTAAGAGAGCTAGTTCTCACCAAATTATAGAAAAGGCAAACCTTTTATTCATTGGGCTAACACTTCGATTGAGATGTAGAAATTTCAAATGTTGCAGATCCATTTGAGGATTTGTTAGTAGTTTCTACTTGTTTTAGGAGTTTTTATTATGCTATATTCTAGCATATAATTAGCTTAAGAAACTTAACAGAATTTGAACATAAACTCACTTGTCAGAGTTTATTTCATCAACTGACCACCATTTCATTGCATTACAGCCCTTATAGGGTTCCTGCATCCCTATTTCAATCAAAATTCAAAGAAATATGCAATAAGTTTATCCTACTAAGAGTTTGTTTGAGCCACATTTTTAGCTAGAAATGCATTTTGGAATAGTGATTTGATGGAGAATGCGTGGTTAAAAAATAAGGAAAAGTTTTTGGTTTGCGTGTAATATTATTTTATTGAAAAATATGTGGTTGAAAATAAGATAGAAAAATATATTTTGGAAAAAATGGGAAACAAACACACACTAAATGGAGTTTGTATTCCACTTAAAAGGTCCTAAAGTCAAGGCATCATATAAAAGAATGCGTAATGAGTGCTACAGAAACATAACTAGATAAATAACGAAAAAGCAAAACATACCTGTGGTAAGCTAAAGGCAGTGTTGTTAGTTCCCATGATCGCTAAAGAATCGCGGATCTGGTTGACCTGAAAACAAAACCCACATAATTTCATCTTGTCTCAAAATATTACTGGAACAACTTTGAAAACTGCTAACAGAAAAATACCTGATCAATATTCTTGTCCCCTGCTCACAATAAGCACCAAAATAAACTTTATTACACCCTTTTAAAAGAATAAGCTCCAAACTGAATATATGGAGGCAAAGGAAAACTGACCATCAGAGTTTGGGACATGTCGGAGAGCCTCGTCTATCATTTCTTGCACAGATTTTCCTTCTGCACGTGCCAAAAAATGATTAAAATGAGCGAGAAGAAATTGCAAAATGGAGCATTTGAGCAAAACAGAAAGAAAAGGGATAGATGCAATTTTACAAAGATATTCCATCTTAAAAACAACGACCATGCACACCAGAAAGAACTAAGCTTTCATTATAGGGGGCAAAATAAAAAGGATATCATTAACCAGAATAAGTGCAAACCCAAAAAATATAACATATTAACCAGAATAAGTGCAAACCCAAAAAATATAACATAATAACATGCCATTTTGTGCCTGTAGGTCATTCTTAAACATGATAGGAATACTTACGTAGAAAGTCACG